CTCAGAAAACCCCAATGGTACGGATAATGAACAAACACCTGGAAACGAACAGAGAACTCAGACGGATCAAGGTACACAAGGCACAAGTGATGCGCAGGGCAATACAAACGCACAAGAAGCTACCGCTACACAACCTTCTTCTTCTTCTGACACTTCCAGCAGTTCAGTTACAGAGAATACCGGCGGAACAACTTCTGAGAGTGATGACACTGGTTCACAGAATGAGTCTACAAACATCACAGATGTTACAGGAAATACAACCACCACCACAACAACAACACTTCCTCCTGAACTCACAAACAACAAGAAGGGTGATGCAGACAGCAGCAGCAGTATCAGCAGTTCTGTGTGGGTGCGTGTGCCACTACTGATTGTGGTTACACTGGCCTGTATTCTTGTGTGCTGATTGTAGTGGTGGTGTGGTGGTGTGACTCAGGTCATCCTTTGTTTTCTTTTCTCTTTTTTTGCATGCATCCACACTACAGTCTAACTAATCTTCCACCTGTTGGGATTATATTCTTCTTTTATTTCTTAATGTTAATGTGTTTTGTGTGTGTTTTTGCTCTCTCTGTGTTTATCCTATAATAATAATTATTGCTACTCCATTGTGTGTGTGTTCTTGGAGACTCTCTCTGTGTGTGCACCTGGGCTTGCACTGTGATGATGATGAACTGTTTTTTTTCGCAGTGGGAAAAAGAATGAAATAATAATAACAGATGAATTTATATTTATAATTGTTTATACACACACATATATATAGACTTACACCCATAGTTGTTGTGTATTTCTATGTTTACTTGGTAAATTGGGCTAATGGTTAATATCTGTTTTGTTTGCTCATGGTTTTCTAGGGTATTGTGCTTTTTGTCGTGTGCTCTTTTTCTGGTATGCTTTGTAAAGGGATATTAAAATCGTAACAGATACATAGATTTGGTTTCATATTTGCATACTAAATGAAGCGTACACATTGTACTGAGTAATTTCTTTTCTTACTGTGGGTGTTTGTGTAGCTATTAATTTCTTTTTTTTTTGGATTTCCTTCGTCACTGTCTGCCGTGCCCCTTTATTGGAATGCTACTTATTTGCGGATCGTGGTTTTTTTAGTGTCTGCTGATTTGTTCTCTTTTACCGTCTGTGTGTGCTTTTTTCGATGTCTTTTGTATTCATTTTTTCTTTGTTTTCTCTTTCTTTAGCAACGCAAACTAAATTAAGAAACACTACACTTCTTGATATGATACTGCGTCGTGTGTTGTGTATACTGGTTTTGCTTCAGTTTGTTATCTTTATGGGTGTGGCAGCAAATGGGAACACTGTTCTTGGTCCTGGCACTGGTCCTGATCCTGCTGGTCCTGTTCCTCCTCTTCCTGCTGCTCCCCCTCCTAGTCGTGGTGATAGTGAAGATCCTAATCCTGAATGCGCTGGTGATTCAGCAGAAACCACATGTCGTACTTCTACACGTGCATCTCATGGAAGTGGTGGTGGTAGTGGAGACACTCATCAGAGAGGGGATACAGCACAAAGGCCTGGGACAAGCAATAG